AAATAACCCTTTAATTTCATTCTAATGTTATTTCTTCGGTATTCACAGGAATACCAGTTTTGAGACTGTTGTGTTTTGTGATTTAATGTAGAGCAATTACAGCCAAAGTATATCTGGGGAGAGTCCTAGCAGAGTGAGTACATTTCTGCTTTGAGTGGGTACTTAATTGTTGATGTGTAAGAGGTTTAGTATGCTCCTAAAATTTTATACCCCCTTCCAGACGACAGAATATATGGCCAGGAAGCAGCCTAACACAGTGAGAAGAGAGAGCCGGACAGCAAAAATCAAAAAGCTAACTATTCTCTGGTTACCACTTTGTGGCATCTGGTACCCTGTTTTGCATCCTCTTTACACCATATTATTGAGACCCAGGCCCCTCCTAGAAAGACAATTACAGAGGATCCTCTGGAGATCCTAGAGGTAGCACTTCTGTGGCTCTGCAGTGTGGCTGCAGTATTTTAGACTCCTTTGGGACAACCCAGATTTTAAAATGGGTGTAAACAGAGAACAGTTTTACTAAAAATGAAAAGCAGCTCCAAGCTCTATAGCTACTGCATGTGTTAATTTTTAACATATGAAACATTTTTAAGAATGGAGCATTTCATTTAAGGGAATAAATTTATGGACTGGAAATGAGGAGGGTGGGGAAGGCTTCTGCAGAAAATAAAATGCAAAGTAGCCTACAGAATGGCAGGGTACCACTAATCTGCACATCTAAATTGTGGCCAATATTATGTATGTGACAAACAGCAGATAATCTCTCAGGAAACCAGGGAAACACGAGCAGACAAATGGCAAAGGCCTAGCGGGACTTCAGGAAGGAAAAAATGGTTTTCAGATTTATAAGAGATGCATATATCACACTGATCTGTAGTGACTTCTGTATGGACAGTACTAATCAATATATCAGAATAGTTGTTACGATTATTTAGCAATAATATATTACTGATAAGTAATTCCATTTTATGCAAGGCTTGAGTGAGACATACTTTTTTCTACAACTGGTAGGAATATCACATACTAGGAGGCATTACAATTCCCAAAGTATTAACACTACATATATTACATGCACACATATATATGAATTTTAGAAATGCCATAACATATTTATAATTGTTACTTGGCCATATTAGTTCTCCATTAAAAGTGTAATATTAAGATCTATTTTTTCAGGCATGTGTTAGGCCTTATAAAATAATAGTTTTCTGATGAAATAAAAAGTATATGTTAATTACAGTAATAATTTTTTTTGTGTGTGTGTTAAGTATAAGCATACAATATATGCATGACTGTTTTTGTACTGTTAATCTATTCTTATCTTTGGTAGTCTATATGTGATTCTTCTTTGTTTATTTTCAGCATAATGTCATGCCTTAGGAATTGCAGTGAAATATGAATTTTTCTTCATTTTCTCCAGTTAGCAACTCTGCATTGCTCTGTCAATAGGGGAGGCTGTCAAATCCAAGATTAATAAATGAAACCCTGCATCCAATGCTGCAGGTTATTTTTAATCCAATATAGGAAGAACTACATTTCTTCCCATTATATTTTCAGCCAGAATGTGCACTTTAGAAAAACAGTGTTCTGATCAAAAACATTTTGCAGTTCAGAGCAGTAACTTGTACAGCCTCTTCCAGCAGTGTAACCCGTGTGCCAGTTCACATGCTGGTTGGTATTGGGAAAGAGGGGCCACTGCTGAGTTGTTCACTCTCTAACGATGGCCACATTAAGAACCTCTGAGTGATGCTGTACAGAGAAAAATGAACTTAGTCTTCATGTGCTTCTCAGCTGATTTGCACTACACTCCAAGACCTAATGATGGAGTCGGTGGACCTAATGCTATTTTTTTAGAGAGGAGGTACACAAATTTTCTTCTTTTCATCTCTTTACTTCTGTAACAGTGGTAAAGGTGGTCAGGCTGGTGCAAAAGTGTGTCACTGGGGTTCCAAATGCCTTGGGAACTCCTGGGTGCCACCTCTTTATATCAACTAACTGCTCTGCTGGAAAAGTATGAATCAAAATTACGCCTTGTGACTAATCAAAACCCATTGATTTAAAGACAATTCCCCCGATGCTCAGATTATATATCCTTGCAAAAGTAGACGCTTGTCCTGGAAGTAACAGACCATATGCACAAACATTTTATGCAGGTAATGCGGAGATCAGGATACCTCCGAAGGAAAGGCAGATACCTCTCTTTGCAGAGCAACGCAGGTAGCCTAAACCAGCGGCCAATTCCTGCCTATTGACTGTGCAGGTAGCCTAAGCATCACCCTAAGTGATTCAATGCATGCATACACTGATAGAAAACAGCATAAAGGAAGGAGAAATGACAGGCATTATGAAGGTATGTCCAAACAGCCTGTTTAATTCAGGGCTTCTGAATGCTTATCCATCCCTGGAAAGTATTCTGAATTCACATATGCAAGGTGAACATAGCTTAGATTTGGGAGATATGGACAGTGAGCCCCCGCAACCTGCACACCAGGCTGTAAAATACGCTGAACATGAGCCTGCCCTGTCCTGCCTGCTGAAGTCGGGCTGCCAGGCAGGCAGCAACACGTGAACTGCGGGTTCAGGCAAGAGATGGGGATCCTAACTCCAGCCCTGCAGCTGGGACGCTCTGCTCTGGTGGCTGCGCTGCGGTTCCCCGCTCCCTGGGTTACTTCTGTTTTTATCCAACGACGGCACAGCCCCCAGGAGGGGAGCAAAGGCAGTGAGCGCAGGATCTCTCCCAGCTGCAGGCCCAAACACACATCCACCCACAAGGACACTTTCAGGACTCTCTGGATATCAAGGCAGGGCTTGGCTGCCTCCCCAGGCACTCCACAATAGCAGGGGTGCCTCAGGGTGCCCAGCCCTCTCTGGACCAAGGCAGCCCTTGCAGAAGCCAGGTGCTTTAGTGCCTGGAGCTGTCTGTGTTCCCAAATCAGGGCTCTTACAAGTCTCTACTGGCTTGGGGCATGCTGGTGTGTGACAGCAGATTTCCTACACTCTGCTCTGAGCCACAGGCTATACGGGTTTGCCTGGAGACCCAATTTAGCTGATCTGACTATGGGCACACATTTTGGTCTTGGTAAGGGTCCTGACCTCCTAAATCAGAGTATAATCCCTACCAGGGTTGCTAACAAGGATTAGACAGGACAAGGTTTCAGCTAATAAAGGACGGTATTACTGCCTATGGTTTTGTCCTTAAACCATCACAGCAATAGCCAACTACCTGTGATTCACAAACTAAGTTCTAATTTTTAGGCTAGTTACATATTTCAGGAATCCAAGACAGCAAATTCAGGATTCTGGCTGGATTATTTTAAAAATGTGATTGACCAAAAATTTAAAATGTATCTGTATCATCCAGACTCTTCCTTAAGATCTGGGAGTATGTCAAAGTAGGAGTCTGTGGATGACTGATTTTAGTTATGTATAACATTACAAATTATTACCATTAATCTCAGTAACAATTAACACTAATTATCTACTCTAATGCACATTATGGAATTTATACTGAGAAAAACTGTCATCAGTTCTCTTACAGAAATGCCAGCACAAATACTTAGAGGTAATTTTAGGAAGCAGGTGAATCTGGTTTTGAATCAGTACTCCATTTACGATTTTATCTGTGCATTTGCTTAGCACAAAAAACGAAAAAAAAAAAACCTTACTGAAGTTCATTGTGAATAAGTTCTGAATAAGTAGGCTTACAAGAAGACTTCCCCTAATTCTTTGTAACTTCAGTTCACCATTTATTTGTACGTATCTCAAATCTTTGACTATTCACTGGAAATTCTGATTTGACTTCAGCACAACTTCCATCCTTACCAGTGAAGTGTAGGTGTGATAAGCTGTCAAACCACTTTGCCCTGCTTGTGGTGCGCATCACATCAGCACAGCAAGTGTGAACAGTAACCACAGTGCCCATAGCTGAGGTTTTTCTAAACAACTGATGCTGGCAGATGAGATTAGTAGGCAGGTGTTTGTGACAGAAAGATGTGAAGCACAGTCTTCACTGGTACATCACCAACAATTGTGAGCAACCAACTCTCTGGACCTCTGCCTTTCAGCAACACCAAAGGAAAACTGGTTTGATAGTCAGGCATTTTAAACAGGAAAGCAGTTGTTTGGATAGTTTCCTTGAAAAAATAAAAATCTTCATTGTGCTTTTTCAGATGGAAGAAATCCCATAGAGTGCTCCTATGCTTGGGAGAGCTATCAGTCAATATCCACAAATCCACTGCATTACTCTTTCAGCCTTATCGATACAATTCTGCTTCATAGTGACAATCATTAAAAAAGTCCTGAGACAACAATTAACACACTGACAGGCTGTGGCTACTGCCCGTTGAGCTGAGTAATTTCTTTTCCTGTTCCTTTCTACTCCCCTGCTTGTCTCCATACATGTGCTGTTCCTTCAGTGTGAGTTCTTAAATCCAACTCCATGGTTATGCTTTTTGGCACTATGTTTACAGTAAATATAAAAGTAAAGATCAACAGTTCACTCCCTCTGTCGTTACAAGAATTTACTTCCTATGCTTCTCTGGTTATATTTAGAGCAAAGGCAACTGCCCAAATTACCGTATTTTGACAACTTCCACTGAGTGTTAGATCACACATGCCACACCCTTAGATGGATCAATGGTGCTGCCCCAGACTACAGCAAACTCACATTTTGCTAACTTTAATATATGCTCTTTCACCTAGCATGCAATGCAAGTTCACATCCAAAACTATCCAGTCAGAGGAAACATAGAAAGGTATTGCACAAGCTCATGAGAAGACTGTTCCTGTAGCACCATTTGAGACCCTCCGTAACACCTGAACGGGGCTGGCTGGTGTGACCCACAATGTACGGGAGACCTGTAGGCTGCTGGCACAGCAGCTGATGCCCAGGTGGGATATCTTGCAGTTTCTAAAACAGTGCTAGATTCACAGATTTAGACAACTGAGCTATACCTATTACAAGAAGAAGTGTATTTGAGCCACAGTAACGCCAGCTTTATTACCTTGACCCATTAACCTGGTTTGGGTTACACTCCATCTTGATGGTGACTCTGGCCGGGGGCTGCGATAACCAGTCTTGCTGGGGAACACGTGGACTCATCTTTGATGTCTGCCCATATTCACTGGAGGAGGAGGCCGTCATCTCTGTCTTCGTAAGGTGGGGCGATCCGTAGGCGCACTCGAACAAGGACTGGTCTTCACTCACCACTGATAACGCTTCCTGCAAACCAGAGAAGAGAAGTCAGCACGACCATGCTTCAGAGCACGCATTACAATATACCCCAGGAAAAAAGGGTTTGTCCATCTCAGAAGAAGACAACCAGCCAGTCACTTGCTTAAATGCTCATTACTTTTTAGGCACGCCACTGCTGTCGGTGGAGGTGAGGACATGGTGCCAGACATGCCGCCAGCACATGGCAGAAGGACAACCTCTCCCCCGGGGAGACCCTTCCCACCAGCGGCTGAGAAGATGCGCAAGCACACGCTACCAAAACTTAGGAACAGCGGCCAGGAGCTGGGAGGGAGGAGAGGGCAGGACGGGCAGCGAAGCTCAGGCCTCTGGCGTCCCAGGTAGGGATGCGGAGGGCCAGATCTGCCGGGGGCGTAAGCAAGCTGCCACCACTGCTTTAACTGCCCCTGCAAGGAGTGACCGAAAGCCAGGCCTTGCTGACTCACTGGGAGCTCCTCTTCCTTCCTTTGGGACCGAGGCCAAGTCCCTTCTGGACAGGGAGCCGAGACAGCTGGGCGCAACATCTCATCCAGGGACCCTGCTCTTTCTGCCAGCACCCACCGCCAGCTTTGGTGGAGGTGCCCACCGCCAGCCCTGAGAGGACATCATGCCAACCAGCCGCCTCTCCCCCTCTCTCACAGCAACCCTTCCTGGCGGGCCACCGGCCAGGGCATCCCGCTCCGGCGCTGTGGGAAGGGTTTCCCCGGCCACCTTCCCTCGCCGTGGCAGCACTGTGGTTATGGCCCTTGAGGGCGGCAGGGTTCACCAGGCCCTCGGTGTCGGGGTGGCTGCCATCGCGGCTGGCTGGCTGGAGACCAGACAGGCGCCAGAGGGAGCGAAGGCCACCCTCTCTCCCCACCG